GAGAGAGAGAGAGAGAGAGAGAGAGAGAGAGAGAGAGAGAGAGAGAGAGAGAGAGAGAGAGAGAGAGAGAGAGAGAGAGACGAAACGACAAACGTCCGGCCCGTTGTTGCCACCGCGTACTCCTTGATTCCCCTTGTGATCCCATTTCCGATACCCTTCCTCTGACAACCTCGCCTTTCCTTAGTCAACTTTTAGAGGGCACACCCTTCAGAAAGCCGCCATCTTATGGTCTTCTTTGACTTGATTCTATGAGAGAGAGAGAGAGAGGGAGAGAGGGAGAGAGAGAGAGGGAGGGGGAGAGAGAGAGACAAAACAGCAAACGACATACTGCACAGCTGGAGAAAGAGACAGAGAGACTAAACAACTAACGACAGACTACGCAGGTGGAGATGGAGAGAGAGAGAGAGAGAGAGAGAGAGAGACGTACATATTTTCGCGCTTCGGGCTGGCTTTGCCACTATCTGCACACATGAAAACGCGCACCGAGCATCCACGAAGAGAGAGAGAGAGAGAGAGAGAGAGAGAGAGAGAGAGAGAGACATGAAACAGCAGGNGGAGGGGAGTCGAGATGGGAAGGGGGGTCATGGAGGGGAGTCGGAGGAGGGGAGTCGGGAAATGAAGGTCGGCCACTCGGCGGAGGGAAGTCGGGGCAGGGAAGTCGGGGGAGGCAGGGGAGTCGGGATGGGAAGGGAAGTCGCGGGAGGGGGGCCAGTGCAGGGAGGGAAGTCGGGATGGGAAGAGGGGTCAGTCCACGAAGGGGAGTCGGGATGGGAACGGGTGTCGGGGGAGGGGAGTCGGGAAATGAAGGTCGCCCACTCGACGGCGGGAAGTCGGGGCAGGGAACTCGGGGGAGACAGGGGAGTCGGGATGGGAAGGGAAGTCGTGGGAGGGGGGTCAGTGCAGGGAGGGAAGTCGGGATGGGAAGGGGGGTCGGACTCGCAGAGAGACACAGAGAGAGAGACAGACACGTGACACTTCGACATCAACAACCAAAGTGGAACCATCATCATCAGGATGACCGACTGACAGAAAGAGAGAGAGAGCAAGAAACAGAAACAAAACTTGGCAATTATTTCAATGGTTGAACGCAGACCCATGTCTTTTCCCGCCTCATGACCTGCTTTCCGGCCGTCCCTTCACATGTGTTGCTGCTCCTGTTCTGTTCAACGTCCGCATTTGAAACACCAACATTCTACAACATTCTCCTCCCTCTCCTTTCCCCCCTCCCCTACCTCTCCCCCCCCTGTTTGGCCGCAGCGTAGCTGCGGCGGGTCCACTTGTACTATTAATGCATGCAAAGGGCCCAGCGCGGGGCCCAGCAGAAACCAGGGCGGTACCTCGCAGGCTGACGGAGGGTCGGGCCCGGCAGCGGGAAGTGCAGCGGGGTTGCTGCAAGCGGGAGACGAAGCAGAGCACTGCGGGAGTGTCGGGTCCGGTACCGGGAAGTGAACAGTGGTGGCAGCAGGCGGGCGACGAAGCAAAGCGGTGCGGGAGTGCCGGGTCCGGTACCGGGAAGTGAACCACGGTGGCTGCAGGCAGGCGATGAAGCAGAGCGTCGGGGGAACGCAGGGGGTGGCAGGGGTTGAGGGAAAGGCCGTGGAAGTGTGGGCGGGGCGTTCAAAGTCTCCACGGACGCGAGAAGCGACGGGAGGCCTGCTTGGTCGACTCGGCCGAAGCGACGGGCGAGAGAGAGAGAGAGAGAGAGAGAGAGAGAGAGAGAGAGAGAGAGAGAGAGAGAGAGAGAGAGAGAG